AAAATGATTTGATGCCCCCAGATTTCTCTCTGGACTTTCTGATCTTGGAAATGATGGGAAAACAAGGCAGGTGGCTGAGGAAACTTAAGCCGAAAATTACTGAAGTGTGGAAGGGACAGCAGAGTCTGCTGGGTTCTCTTGGGTCCAAGCACAAGGCAGCAGAAGCCATCAGATGGAGAAGGGGCATCAGGATGAAGGAGAGGGCAGGCCAGCTGGGGGCAGGAGGACACACAAGCTAGAGGAAAGATTCCTCGGAGGTGACATGTCCGTCAGAGAAAGCTGGAGGATCAAGATGCCTACCCTGACGGTTGGATCCCAGCTGGTGTCATGGTGGTGCCCATTCTCTGTCCTCCGCACCCTAATCTGCAATAACTTTCCCATCCTGCAGGCTAAGCAGCTGGACTTAAGGCAGCTGTGGAGTGTGGGGAGCAAATCAGACTCCTCGGTACTGCCTTAGTTTGGTTTATTTTGCCCTGTTCTGCTTCACAAAGAATGGAGGTAGGTTACCCGCACCCCCCTTCCCATAGATAGGCTTCTAACTGTACTAGCATAAAACGAAAAGCAGCAAGATAAAAGATTTCTGGGCAACAGAAAAGGATAGTCAAGGAAAAGTAAATCGTAGGAAATTTAGTATACATCATGATAGGACACAGCTGAAAATAAGCAATAGTTTTGTTTTTTTAATTTAAAACATTTATTTGTATGTGTGGTGGGGTGGGCATGCACATGTCACAGTATATAGGTGGAGGTCAGAGGACAACTTGTAGGAGTCAGTTCTCTCCTTCCACCATGTTGGTCCTAAGCACCAAACCCAGGTCCTCAGGTTTGGCGGCAAGCGCCTTTATACACTGAGCAATCTTGCCAGCCCTGATCATTGCAAGAGTCAAGTTGCTACAATCTCGAATCAATTGAGAAGAGACTCTCAATGAAGGATTGTCTAGATTAAGTTAGCCTGTGGGTATGTTGATGGGGGATTATCTTGATTATATTGATTGAGGTGGAAAGACCTGCCCACTGTGGGTGGTACCATTCCCTCCTTAGGGTATCCTGAACTGGATAAAATGGAGAGGGCAAGCTGAGCAATAGCGAGCATGCATTAATTCATTGCTCTCTGCTCTTGACTGTGGATGTCACGTGACTATTTGCTTCAAGTTCCTGCAACCTTGACTTCCGCACAATGATAGCCTGCGACCTGGATGTGTGATAAGCTCTCTCCTCCTGCTTAAGTTGCTTTTGTCAGAGTGTTCTATCACAGCCACTGGAAATAAAGCTAAGACAATAGCAGAGACACCAGTTGTCATTTACGGGGCATCTATTATGTACCAGGCACACGGGACCCTTGTTTCATATTCTCTCATCTCATCTTGCCAATTCATCTCCACGAGCCTCGATGAATCTCTGTGAGCCAGGTGGCAACAGTGCCGTTTCACAGACCAGCTTCACAGGATTTCCTTGGACCTCTGTGTCTGGTCAATATGGAAGTGTATTAGTTTTTTTTTTTTTTTTTTTTTTTTAATCATTGCTGTGGGAAAACACCTGACCAAAGCTGCTTAAGGAAGGGTTGTTTTTTAGTCTCACAGATCATGTGGACAGTTCCTTGTGTGGCTGGTCACATCGCGCCCTCAATCAGAAAGCGGAGAGAAGTGAAGGCTGGCACTCATCTTGCTGTCTCCTTTTTACACAGTCTGAGATCCTAGCCCAAGAATTGACGCAGCCCAAATTTGTGGTGGATGTCCAGAAACTTGTTTCCATGGTGATTATAAATCCCATCTAGTTTACAGTCAAGACCACATGGGAAGCTTGCAACGGAACCAGCATTTAGCCACCAAATCCTGCGTGGTTAGAAGGTAGGAGGCAGAACGGCCATTTTAGCGGTGAATGCGCACAGCCCATCAGGTCAAAGCAGACTACTTGCTCCCTGTGTGAGTTAACTTTCTCACCGTGGTGACAATACACTGGACAGAAGTAACTTGAAGAAAGGAAGGAAGAAAGACTTATTTTGGCTCACAGTTCATAGGGTACAGTCCACCCTGGTGGGGGAAGGCATGCTGGCTAGAGAGGCACATCTTGGTAGATCAGGGAGGCAGAGATAGAACCCAAAGCAGCACCAGGCTATATCCTTAAATGTAACACAAATTGTTAGAAGGTCTTATTAATAAAAACAAACCCAGAACCAGGTACTGGGGTCAATGCTGAAAGAGCAGAGAAGCAGAACAAGCCACCTCACCTTGCCAGTTCCTCAGCTGATCCTGTTTCCTCAGACTGGAAGCCTCTGAGTCCTCATCCAAATGGATCTCAGCTGAACTGCCGCTCAAAAGCCTAAAAGCTTAACCAGCTCCAGTTCCTGGTTTTCATGCCTTATATACCTTTCTGTCATCATTTCCTGGGACTAAAGGCTCTTGTTACCAGGCATGGCTGTTTCCAGTGTGGCTTTGAACTCACAGAGATCCAGATGAATCTCTATCTCTGAAATGCTAGGATTAAAGGTGTGTGTGCCACCATTTTCTGGCCTTTATATCTAGTGGCTGTTCTGTTCTCTGACCCCAGATAAGTTTATTAGGGTGCACAATATTTTGGGGAACACAATATCACCACACTTAAAGGCCCACCCCTAGTGACCTACATCTGCCAGCTAGGTCTCACGTCCCAGGGTGCCACAACCTCTCCAAATGGCATAACCACCTGGAGAGAAGTACGCAAACACACGAGCCTGCGGGGGTCATTAGAATCTCGACACTCCCTTTGACACCAGGGTCTCAGGAGATTCCATATAGAATCTCGACACTCCCTTTGACACCAGGGTCTCAGGAGATTCCATATAGAATCTCGACACTCCCTTTGACACCAGGGTCTCAGGAGATTCCATATAGATCTTCCAGAATGACATGGAATGAGGGAATGTAGCAGGGACACTAGTTAACCCCCCATTTCTAGGATGGGTTTTAGGGGTGAATTCCCTGGAGGGAGGAGACAGTGGACCTGCTAGAAGTCGCATGGCCTTTAGTACCTGTGGGACAATGTGTCCTTCTGCTGACACACGGAGGGTAATGTGAGAATCTGAGGCCTCTGGGAAGCTTCCTCTTCCCCTCTTCCTTCCGTCCCTTCCCTCTTCCCATGCTCACTTCCACTCTTCCTTAGCCACTTTCCTTCACTTTCTTTTCCTTTCTCTCTCCCCCTTTCACGTCTTCTATCCTTCCAAGTGGAGAAAATAATTGAACTCATGGGCCGCCTTTTATTTTTAGATTAAAACAAAATAGGTCTATCAAAGTCCCACAAGGGGACAAAAGTGAGTTAGTCAGACAGATTAACCTATTCAAGAGGGGGGTGCTAGCAAGGTAAATGACATGGATTTTAGGACAAAAGCCGCCCTCCTGTCATTTCTGAGAGGTAGCACACAGCAGTGGCCCCTGAGTAGTCATGGGAAAGTCATACTACGGGCCAAGCCATAGTTGGTAGGCCATGTGTGGACTGTAGGCTGGGTGGCTCATCATGGGCTTGCATTTCTTTTTGGAGGGGTAGAATTCATTCAATGACTTGGTGCTGAGTCCCTGGGAGTGCTCACCCAAGCCAGCTGTTTGAAAAGTGAGAAGCCAGCCAGGCTGCCTTAGTCTCTCTTCTCCCCAAGGGAGCAGGTTCTGACTTTAAAGAACCCCTGCCCGCCCTGGCTGCCCACTCTTTGCTGTGGGGCTGTGACAATGACAGTGGCCAGCTGCCAAGGGCCAGGCTCCAGCCCAGGCAACTCCTTTGTTCCCACCTGCTGCTCGAGTCCACTCCCTGGCTCTGTGCCCAGTGATTCTCCAGCACGGAGACCCGAGATGTGGGCCTCAGAGTCGGGGAGGGCAAATTTGGTGCCAGTGTCTCAGAGGTTAGCCCTGCAACCCGAGGCAAGCCACACCACTTTTCCAGTGTCTTTGTCTGGGAGAAGAAGATGTGACATGCACCTCCCAGAGTGATTGAGCAGCCCAAGGGCTCTGAGCAGAGTGGCTTATAAGGAGCGCTCACTAAGTGCCGAGTGCCTCTCTTTGTAGTGAGAGATTTGGATTCCATTTCTGGGGTGACCTAGAAGACGCTCTTCATATCACTGTGTGCTCTGTACTTGGGTACGTATGTGGTGCGCTCGTATGAGTGTGCAGGTGCATGTGCGTATGTGCACACATGCAGAGGCCAGAGCAGGACTTTGGGTGTCTTCCTCTATTGCTCTCTCATTTACCACCTTGAGATACAGTTTCTCACTGAACCTGAAGCCGACCCTTGCAGCTGGACTGGCTGGGCAGTGAACTCTCTGTTTGGAAAATCCATCTGCCTCTGCATCCTCTAACGCAGGGCTTCCAGGCACATAGAGCTATGCCCAACTTTTTACCTGCATGCTGGGGTTTCAAACTCAGGCCCTTATGTTTATGGAGCAAGATTTCTTACTCATATAACTATGTCCCCAGTGTCCCTATGCCTTTTCAAAGCTGCAACCTCATCTTCACATCTTCTTGAGGCAGGACCACTTCTAGCATGTAAATAAGACGACTGAAGGAAGCTGGGAGAAATGAGGAGCCACCAAACCATACCAGCCAGGGCCCAGCAAAGGCTGGCTTCGAACCCAGTGTCCCCCGGATTTTGAATCCCAGTTCCGGAAAGGCACTGGGGCGGCCTCTTTGATCTCCCCAAGCTGCTGTCCAACGGTGTGCCAAGGGGAGGGCGGAGGAGCTGCTCCCTGGGCCAGCCCCTCCTCGCCTGCCCGCCTCCCAGGACCGGCTGGCGGCCAGCGGGAGGCATTCCAGAGGCTGCCTGCCTGTGCTCACGCCTGAGGAATGTCTTGCGAAGTCGCGCCTAAGCCCTTTGTATCTGACTCATCATCTCTCCGTCTCCAGGAGTGTCAGAGAAGAGCTCCCTTAATCCCTCCTGTCCTCGGTCCCAGGCTTTCATTTGTCAAACTAAAAATATTCCCTCCAGGAACCTCCTTTAGCCAGGGGCTGAAGGAGGTACAAGTGGATGGTATTTCAGCGTCACTTCCTGACAGCGCCTCCGTATTGTTCCCTGGGCCAGAGGCAGCGGCAGGCAGCGAGGGGGCCTCTGTCATGTTTGGGCCACAGCCAGCAGCAGTCCACCTTCTCTCCTGTAAGCACCTTCCTTTTCCATCTGGGGAGGGAAGCTGAGATGGCCCATCAGCTTGACAGGCAGCCTTGTCCCTGGTCCCTGGGGGCTGCCTCGTGATTCGTGCCAGGTGAGGATTCTAGAATGCCAAGTTCATTTCCTTTGCCGCCCGAGGGGAGGGTGGGCTGGCACGGTTCGTACTTGTCTGTGAGGCGGGTTTTAAGCACTGATAAAGAGGTGGAGAGTTTGGAGGTAGAGGGAAAAGGAGTAAACGCGACCGTGCTGGTGTCTTAGGTGAGACCGACGGACATGGGCTCGCTGCGTGGGTGAGGCTGGCCATCCTTTTCTTTCCTCACCCTGTTATACTCCTGGCAGAACCACACTCCTCAGGGCGGATCCTGAGTGTCTAACACATTTAACCTGGTCAGAAATCTTGGCTCAGAGCGATGAAGTCACCTCCCTAGGACACCATGGGTTCCCCCTGGCTGTCACCTACAGCTCAGATGTGCGGGTCCTGGTTCCACCATCACAAGCCATGTGAGTTCCAGTAAGGTACCTCATCTCTTAGCCTCAGTTTCTTTTTTTTTTTTCCTTCACCAGTGGATAGTACCTGCTATCCCAGGCTCTCACGAATATATAAAGTGAATTACATGCTGCTTACATGTAATTACATGATTGGGGACCCGATCTAAACTGTCCCAATCACCACCCTCCCTCATCAACAAAGACAACCAAGACTGCAGAGACTCAATGGCAAAGACTACTACTACTCCCTTGGAGCCAGGAGCCCTGGCTTCATGTTCAGCAGCCTTTACAGCTATGTGGCTTGAGGCAAATCCCCTCACATGAGCAAGTCACATGAGCTGATTTGTGACCTGCAGAGTTTGGATCTGCTTTCCTCGTCTTGGATCCAAAAATCTGTGACTGTGGACACACTTAGTACTAGATGTCAGCGGAGAGTTTCTCTCTTGTGTGTTATTTATTTATTTATTTTTTTCTAAACAAAGAAAGGAGGTTTATTTGACTCCCAGTTTTGGAGGTACAAGGTCAAGGGTGACATCTGGTGACAGCCTTCTCACTGGCAGAATCCCAAGGTGGCACACACTCTCACATGGCAAGGAACAGGGAGTACATGTGGGTCTCATTCTTCTAAAGGACACAACCGTGACTTAACTGCTTGCTATGGACTGAACTGCGCCTCCCACCACAAATTCACAGACTGAAGCCCTGACCCCCAATCTGACTGAATCTGAACATAGGGACTTCAGGAAGTGACTGAGGTTATATAAGGTCATGAGGATGGGGCCCAATGGGGAAAATGAGTCAGAGGACTGTCTCCTCCCCAGGTGAGGACACAGTGAGGAGGCAGTATGTGCAAGTTGGGGAAGAAACTGAACTCCAACAGGTCTTGACCTTGGATCTTCAACCTCCAGTTTGATGGCAAGTAGACGTGTGGTGCGTCAACTGCTCACTCTGTGGTGTTTTGTTATGGCAGCCATTGCCGGACGAATACCTGTTGCAGGAAGCACACTGCTGACACTTGACGATGCTCCCAGAGCTAAGGAGGAATGGCAGTTTCTGCAAGAGGAGGGAGAAGCCACCCCCACCGCACACTTTGCAGCCAGGGACCGTGAACTGAAGCAACTCCATTTTCTGTGGTGGACAGAGGTTAACCCAGGATCTGGAGGAAAGCAAGCTGAGTTTGAACGTGAGCCAGTGTGTGACTGTAGGTAAGTTACTGGACCTCACCTGTTAAACGTGCCACTGCCGTCACTGTAGATTGATAGAGTGAGGTAACCTGTGGGGTACACGCTGGGCAGTGCCCAGATAAGGCACTGGATAAATGCTAACAGCAGTAATGTATTTCCAATATCATTTATCCACATATCCATAGTTATTACTAGTATTAATAATTTAACCCACACAACTCATTTCACCTAGTGGAGCTAAAAAAGAAAGCCATGCTTATCCCGACTTACTTTGGCCTCTTTTTTTTTAATCAGAAATTCTCCTCTGTCTCCAAATGCGTGTTTACATGACTTCCAGTCTACTGGGGAGTCCTATCGATACAGGTGTGCTTGCCACATTGGGTGCTAGAGCAAGATGAATTCAGAGACAACCTCAGTTCTGGAATTTGTGGTGGTTACAGCCTTCACTTTGCTCCCATTGGAGAGTTCCTGCTGGGGAGACCTGTCATGTCATTTGTGTTCAAGTGACCCCATTTCTCAGGTGGTTGAATGACTTAAATAAAGATTAGCGATCTGGGGTTGTGTAGATAATTTAGTGGTTAAGAGCACTTGCTGCTCTTCCAGAGGCTCCAGGATCAATTCCTAACAGCATCCAGGAAACAAACCACGACTGTCTGTAACCTTAGTCTGAGAGGACCTGATACCCTCTACTGGCCTAGGGGGGCACTGTATACATATGGTACACAAACATACATACATGTAGACAAAACATCTAGACACATTAAAAAAAAAAAGAGTAGTCTAACAGCTTTCAACAAATGGTCTAAGAATAATTGGCTCCCTACATCAGCAAGGAATATAAACATGGAATGTACACACGTTAACTACAAAAGGGCCAAAGATTTCATAATGAAACACAAAGCTACAAATTGTCTGAATGATAACATAGAAGAAAATCCTGCGACCTTGATGATTTTTTAAATACAGCACAAAGGCATTGTCTGTGAAAGTTAAGGGGTAAGCTGGTTTTCATTAAATGAGAAACTTGTGATTTGTGAAAGACAATGTCCAGAGGAGGAGAAGACAAGTCACAGACGGCATGGAAATGTTTGCAGAAGTCACGTCATCAGACCGTCATCCAAAATACACAGAGAACTCTTAAACTCAGCAGTAAGAAAACAAACAACCTGATTCAAAAAAATGGGCCAAAGACTTTAACAGACACCTCAGCAAAGAAGTGCACAGATGGCTAACAGAGATGGGAAATGTTCTCCGTCAGCTGCTCTTAGGTAGGAAATGCCAGTGAGTCTGGCAGTGAGCCTCTCACTACCACATACCTGTTAGAATGACCCACATTCAGAACACTGACACCACCAAATGGTAATTAGGATGTGGAGCAACAGGAATGCCCATCCACGACTGGTGGGGACACAAAGTGGCAGAAGCCACATTGGACTAGAGCATGGCTTTTTTTGAGGGGGGGGGCAGGAATCAAGCAGATTTGTCAGGGTTCTCTACAGGGACAGAACTCATAAAAGGGGGGGAAAAAGAAGCTATTAAACCAGCCTATGTCAAAATAGTAACAACAGCTGTTTCACCCGTGAGGGGCTAAGAACCCAGTAGTTGCTAAGCCAGGTGCCTTAGCAGGCCCAGTTGGTGTTGAAGACCTGGAGGGTTCCTGGAGAGCCACTGGTCCTCACTCAACTTTGGAAGCCTGAAAGCACTGGTTAATAGCACCAAAGGAAGACGCAGCAGGGTAAATTAGGTAGGAAGCCAAAGGGAAGGTCAAGCGAGCAAAAGGTGAATACTTTTCCTTCTATGATCTTTTTTGAGCTGGGCTGCTATCAGGAGATGCCGCCACATTTAGGGTGGGTATTCTCACATCAATTAAGACAATCAAACAAATCCTCAAGTGAGGCTCCCTGCTCAGGTGATTCTAAATTGTGGTAAGTTGACCTGTAAAACCGACCATGTGATGCTTTTACCATGTGATCCAGAAATCACATTCTTTGGTATTTGGTATTTACCAAAGGAGTTGAAGATTTCTCTCTCTCTCTCTCTCTCTCTCTCTCTCTCTGTCTCACTGGCCACAACAAAATGCCTGAGCACAATTGTAAGACATCAGCTTTATTTTTGATTTCTCAGACTTGGAAGTAACCAAATTTCCTTCAGAAGGTGAGAAGATAAATATACCTGAATAAATTATTTAGGACCTTCCAGAAATGCACACTGGAGATATGGTAGGTCAAGGAGTCACCTAAAACACATATTCCTAAGAGAAAAACAGATACTGAGTGATTCTGACCACATGGCATTCTGGGAAAAGCAAGACTGTAGAGATCTCAATAGTAAGGAAATAAGTGAATGGTAGGGTGAGCAGTGAGTGGAGGAGGAAGAGGTATCATAGAAAGGATTTTTTTGTTTGTTTGTTTTTTGGGCAGGATCTCGTTATGTAGCCCTGGCTGTCCTGGAACTATGTAGACCAGGCTCACCTCAGACTCACAGAGATCTGCCAGCCTCTGCTTCCCAAGTGCTGGGATCAAAGGTGTGTGGCACCATGCCTGGCCCACGGGAGATTCTTAAGGCAGGGAGACTGTTAATCTAGTGATGGATACAGGCTGTGACACACTGCTCACATTCTTAGAACACACAGCATGAAGAACTAGGGTTGGACCCTGGGAGATGGTGGAGGGGTCACTGTGGGTCCTCTGATGGCCATGAAGGTTCTACTGTGGAGGGATGTGGGTGGGGAGGGAGGCTCTGCATGTGAAGGACAGGAAGATGCAAACATCTGTAGCTTCCTTTCAACTTTGTTGTGAACCTACAATGTCTCTGAAAAAGTAAAGTCTTTGAGAAAAACATTTATCTTTATTCAGATCTGGTGACTCCTTGCACAAATTTGCCTAGGCTTCCCCAAGACCCTTTGAGTTCTAAAAACAAGACTTCTGCTGGGAAGGGTGGCTGTTCTCTTAAGCCTTCAAAACCCCATTCCCTGGCAAGAGAGGTGCCTACCCGTTTTGTGTACCTTTATTCCCTGGGGAACTATTGAAGTGATCTTCTGTCAGCAAGGAAGGCTGCTCCAGTGATAACTGCACATTGCATTGAATTAAAAAAAAAAAAAAAACTCACCAAGGACACGAGGCTTCTTTTTTCTCTGACATACACAGTTCTCTGAAAGACATTGTGATTTCAGAGATGTCAAAAACACCATGTATAAAAATGCCCTTATGCAACAGTATCATGTGCAATGAATACAATGGGAGCTTTAAAAAGGATTAAAAACTTCATGAACACGTGAAAAGAAGAGGAGCATCTCAGAATTATTAGCAGTATTCCTAAGGAATTCCTGTGTATCAGCTGTTATTTCTAAGACTCAGTTCTAAGGTTAAGCATTAACTCATTTAATCCTCAAAACAGCCCTAGGAAGCAGGGGCTACCGCTGAGGATCAAAGCGAGGCTCAGGTAGGTTACATAACGTGGTGTCACATGGTGAGTGACTGGCTAAATTCAACTCCAGGAAGTTGAAGGCTTATTATTAGACATGAAGCAAGAGCAGCTTTTAAATAGCAACTCTCCCAGCTCTCCCTACACACACACACACACACACACACACACACACACACACACACACACACACACACACATACACACACACACACACACACACACACAATAAAGACCATCTTCCAAATGTAATTCTAATATCAGCTTGCATCGAAGAGCAAGAAACTGTTGTGGGAATGATTTAGTAAGCTCTCCCCGGGGCTAGGATCCTTGGTCACCTGTAGCTGGCTTTCACTGGACGACACCCACACCATCAACAGGGACACACTGCAAGTGACAGGAAATTCCAGTGCAAAGCAGTGTTTTTTTTTTTTTTTTTTTTTTTTTTTTTTTTTTTTACCAATAGTATCCCTCTCATTGTTCTTTTCTTTCCGTCCTGGTCTCCCTTGGCCGGTGTCTGGAAGAAGCCCGTTCAGCTCTAGTGTGCTGGGTCCGTAGCGTTGAGCATGCAGTTCACGCTTCTCCAACTGGCATTTTGGACTCACAGGGTTTGCTTCACGCTTGTAAAAGTGCCACTACATCTCCAGCCATTTTGTTTGTGTTCCACTTGGGCTCCAGAAGGGTAAAACGGCTTTGTCTTTTATGTAGGAAAGATGCTCTGGACGGGAGTGTTCTTATGGCTGTGTGGATGGAACAGGGTCACGTGTTGATACCCTCAGGTTGGCTGCTGAACAGGGGCGGTAGACATCCACTTTAAACCTGCTATGACTCAGTGCTGGGCATCAGGGAGGGTGGCCCTCCTCTCCAAGATCAAGGGATCCTTAATGCTACTTAATAAGAGTGAGGGGAAGGTGGGATCGGAAAAGAGGACACCACCAGTGTGGGCTACCTGTCTTCCTACGCTGGCTCTCCTGCATTCCTGAGTTCTTCCCTGCTCCTCTCTGCTTATAGGCTCAGAAAAGATGAACCACGAAGGGAGGCACCGCCTCTGCCGGGCTCCCCATGTTGTCCCCAGAGCTCATCATGGGTGCCAACGGATGAATGAATACAGGCTGAGAGCCCACATGCCTGGGCCACTCTTTTAGGAAGCATCAAGGGAAGATGGGCCTCCTGTCACCACGGGTGGTGCTGACTGAGTCTGAGTGTGTGTGTGTGTGTGTGTGTGTGTGTGTGTGTGTGTGCCTCCTGCGCCTGGGTTAGAGTGCGCCTGTGTGTGCCCCTTGCCGTTCCTCCGGGCCGGCCTCAGATTGAATTACTTATAAACAGGCCCACATCAACCTGGCAGAGTCTGCATTTCAGCACAACGGCTCTCCCAGTTTCCCGAATTCTTTTGATTTGGCAAAATCCAAAAATAAAACAAAGCCCCGCCATCTTCCGCCCAGCATGCTTTTGGAGCCCTATGGCCTGCGAGAGGGAGAGCAATGGGTTCCGGATGTTTGGGATGGATCCCCAGCTCCTGCCAACTTGTCTCCCTCTTTCCACATGCTCCTGCCCTAGATCTCGGCATTCTCTCTGGTGCTTAGTGAGCAGGGGTGGGGCTCAGGGATCCAGGGCTCCCCGGGCTCTGGCTCTTCATGGGTCCTTCTCCCTCTGCACTCTGGGACAGCTGAAGATAGACATGGCGGGACTTGAGAACATCTCTCCGCCTTCATTTATCCCACTGACTGCTGGATGAATGCTTTGGAAGTGTCTCTGTCCCCCAGTGTTCAGTAAGCAGCGTGTTGCTGGCAAACCCCATTTAACCTGATTCTTAGACACTGGGACATGCTAGCAAGTTTTCACTACTGCTGCACCCCTGTCTAGGATCACACAGATGTGAATGTGAGTGCTGTCAGTCATAGAATTGGAAGGGCCTGTCTCTGAAGTTGAAAGACAGGTGTTCTTCTTTTTGTACCTGAGGAAACAGAGGCTCTAAGGGGCCAGGGGAGGGACCCAAGGTCACAAAGCAGGTGAGTGACAGAACCAATCTAAGGTCATGCTACCTTTCAAGCTCACTTCCCCATAAATACCTAAGGGAACCAGATACTGGATCTATTTTCTCTCTAGGGAGCTTTCACACATCTCCATGCCCCCATTACTTTCGATAGACAGGGCATGTTATCTAGACTCTGCTGTGGTGACGGATCTCTTGAGGATAGGCCCTATGACAGAACACATCTGGAACGTGGAACCCAGAATCTGATACAGTCAGTGGCCTGGAACTCTTGCTCAACCCCACTCCTCCTAACACCCACAGCCAGGGCTCTTCTGTACCTACTTTGATTAAAGCAATCCCTTTCTTAAAGTCTATTTTATTTACACATTTTATTTTATTTTCAAGTGTGTGTGTGTGTGTGTATGTGTGTGTGCACTCATGTGTGTGCATTTGAATGCAGGTGTTCTCAGAGGCTGGGGGCATTGGATCCATCTGGAGCTGGAGTTACAGGGGGTTGTAAGCTGCCCAACATGGGTGTTGGGGACTGAATTCAGGACCTCTTCAAGAGTAGTGTGTGCTCTTAATCACTGAGCCATCTCTCCAGCCCCTCAATGTCTGTCCCCCCCCCCGACTCCAAATGTTTGGGGGGAATACCAATATTGCTGGGAGGAGAGAATGAAAATCTAGAGGTTGAGAGACAGGGTTCAAGGTCAACTTGACAAGGCCACCCACTAGATGTGGGGCTTTCTCATATCCTTTAACTCTTCAAGATTTCAATCTTCTCCTCTTTAAAATTAACAAGTGGGAACTCAGTGGACTCTAAGCTCCCTACCAGCTCTAATATGCTATAGGACGTGTCCATGGTGTTGCTTAATGTAGTCTGAAAACCTGGATCCTCAAAAAAGAATGTGTCATAGTTTACTTTTTATCATGATGGGAAAACACCATTATCAGAAGCAACTTGAGGAGGGAAAGGAATTTTTGGGCTTACACATTTAGATCACAGACTATCTTTGAGGGAAGCCAAGGCAGGAACTCAAGCAGAGCAGGAACCTAGAGGCAGGAACTTCAAGGCAGGAACCTTGAGGCAGGAACCTTGAGGCAGGAGCTGAAGCAGAGACCTCAGAGGAATGCTACTTACTAGCTTGCTCCTCATGGCTTGCTCAGCTTGTTTTCTTATATACCCAAGGATCATCTGCCCAGGAGTGGCCCCATCTATGGTGGTCTGGACCCTCCCACATCAGTTATTAATTGAGAAAATTCCCCGCAGACTTGCCTCCAGGCAATCTGATAGAAGCAACCTCTCAATTAAGGTTCCCTTTTCCTAGATGACTCTACCCTGTATCAAGTCGACAAACAAACAAACAAACAACAAACTAATCAGCCCAGAATGTTTGGTGCATCCTGGGTGTATGAATCTCAGAGAAACAGAATGAGAGTGCACATTGAGAAAACAAATAGTCCCAGTGGAGTGCTTTGTGTGCAGCATAGGGTACATGCACAGCGTGTTCCTCCGTCTTATGTGAGCCTCACCATGACCTCATATGGAGGCACTTGGTCCTGGCTTCCTCTAGCCCCTTACTTTCTTTTTAGAACGCTGTTAGTGTGTGTGTGTGTGTGTGTGTGTGTGTGTGTGTGTGTGTGTGTGTGTGTGTATGTATGTGTGTTTGCACATGTGGGGGTTCAGGTATGTGTGTGGTATGCATGTGTGCACATGCATAGGCCAGAGGTTGATAATGGCTCTCTTCCTTGACCACTCTTCACCCAATATATAATACATAGAGGCAGGGTTTCTCACTTGAATCAAAAACTTGTCAGTTCTGCCTGTCTAGCTAGGCAGCTCGCTCTAGACACCCCCCTGGCTCTGCCTCTGAGTGCTGGGATTACATGGGGACCACCACACCTGCTTTGGCTTTTATATGGGTGTTGGGGATCCAGACCCTGGTCCTTATGTTTGCAAAGTGATTACTTTATCTACTGAACCATCTCTTCAGCCCCTTTACCGTATTTGTGGCCTCTTGTATTTACTGAATATTGATGGTATTTTAGATTCAGTTTCAAAGTAACTCCAAACCCTATTTCATTATTCTTAATTCTTAATTTACATTCATAATTCTTACCAAGATCTTCAGGAGGTGAGGATTATTCTTGTTATGAATGTGGAAATAGAGGTGCAGAGAAAGGAAGGGACTTGTCCAGGGTCATACCAAAGTCCAAATCACTCCTTTATTTTGACTGTAATTCCAAAGTGATACACCATTCTCAGTGGAATGTGTTGTTTCCACTTTACCTTATTGAATGTTGCGGTGGTTTGATTGAGAATCATCCCCAACTCGCAGCCCCATAGGCTCATAGGGTTACATGCTTGGTTCCTACAGTTGGTGGAACTGTTTGGAAAGGATTAGAGGGTGTGGCCTTGTTGGAGGGGGTGTGATGCATGAGTCCTAAATGGTCTTGTAATAAAAACCCAGAGCTAGATATCAGGGTGAAAGCTGAAAGATCAGAGAAACAGAGCAGGCCACAGCCACCACCTCTTACCTTACCAACTCCTCAGCTTAAAGAGACCAAGTTCTTGTTTCCTCCTGCTTTATATTCCTTTCTCTGCCCAGCCATATCACTTCCTGTCTCAACCTTCCTAGTACTGGGATTAAAGGTGTGTGATCCCAAGTGCTGGAATTAAAGGTGTGTGCCACCACTGCCCTTCTATGTTTAATCTAGTGGCTTGTTCTACCCTCTGATCTTCAGGCAAATTTTATTTGTTCACAATATCACCACAGGGGTGTGTCGGTAGGCATAGGCTTTGAGGTTTCAAAAGCCCATGCCATTCCCAGCTGCCTTGTGCTTGTGGATCAGACAGAAGTTCTCAGCTACTTCTCCAGCACCATGCCTTCCTGCCGTGTATCCTGCCATGATGGTCACAGACTTATCCTATGAAGTTGTAACTATGCCCTCAATTAAGTTTATTTTATAAGTTTCCTTGGTCATCATGCTTTGTCACAACAGTAGAAAAATAATCAAAGCAGAAGTTAATGTCATCAGTAGAGCAGGCACTATATTTGCCCAGTGATTTTCAAAGTATTACCTGAAGATCTATGACATGAGAATCTCCTGGTGACTTCTTAAAAAATGCAGGTTCCTAAGCTCTTCTTCAGGCTTCCTGAAGCTGCCTCTCTGGAGTTGGGAGTGTGGAAAATATTTTCAAACATTCTCATGAGTTTTTTCCTACTTATTTGAGAACCACTTATCTAGGACATGATGACTTTTCCTCTCATCCAACAGACTATTCTATACATATAGGAGAGTCAGGTTGTGGTGGACATTTCTAGCAGGAAGGGAGCCCAAGGCTATTGTTACTTCACTGAGACTCCTATGAAGTATAGGTTCTTCATTGTAGTTTCTTGGCTATGTTGCTGTGTGTGTGTGTGTGTGTGTGTGTGTGTGTGTGTGTGTGTGTGTGTGTGTGGTTTTTTGAGACAGGGTTTCTCTGCTAGGCACGGCTGTCCTAAAACTCACTCTGTAGACCAGACTGGCCTTGAACTCAGAGACCTTCCTGACTCTGCCTCCCTAGTGCTGGGATTAAAGATGTACACCATCAATGCCCAGCTTTATTTGTGTGTGTGTGTGTGTGTGTGTGTGTGTGTGTGTGTGTGTTAACACTAAGTGAATCTAATTTTTTAATTAGTTAAGACTGAGTTAAATAGTTATAAGCAACCTCTAAGTAGGTATCAGTTGTTTAAAATTATGTTTTTATTTTTTTCTCTTACATCATAGCTAACGTGTATCTCACATGGAAGAGATTGGGGCTGTCCTCATTTACTGTCTCACAGTGCCTGTGGCTAAGGAATTCAGAAGTGACAGAGCTGGAGCAGAATCTCTCCTGATCATGTGCTCTGGGTATTGGATGGTGGTGAATTTTCAAGGCTCCACTGATGCTGTACCTACTCTGAAGATAGAAAACTGATGTGAGTGTTGGCAAGATGCCTTACTCCTAAGACACCTGCATCTCCACAGGCTGCTCGAGTGTCCTCATGACACAGTATCCAGAAGTGAGCAGGCGGGAGGCTGTGGTCGTCTCAGGACCTACTGTCCACAGTCACCAACCATGACTTCCACGTTAGTATCTTTGTTAAGATGAGTCAATATGTCTGAGGGGAAGAAGACTGAATGGAAGAGCACAAAAGACGTGTGACTATTTCAAAACCATCACAATCAATAGATACAAAATAAAATCACAGTCTCCCAGAGGTGCCCAAGCATTGTTAGACCACAGTATTCATAGAACTTAATCTAAATCAGGAGTTGAGGAGGTGGCCCAGGTGCCTCAAACTCAGCTCCTCATATGTAGTTGTGGAAATTATTTTAACCAGGCAGAGATGTGTCACATTTGTTTATCCTGCAAAATATCACTTTAACTGTGTAAAGGTGTGTTATGCAGTATTTATTTAACAATGTAAGGGTGTATTTTTAATTATGTAAAGATATGTTGCATCTGTTTCACCTTGCCTGCTTAAGGCACCTGATTGGTCTAATAAAGAGCTGAATGGCCAATAGCGAGGCAGAAAGAGAATAGGCAGGGCTGGTGGGCAGAGAGAATAAATATAGGAGGAGAACGCTAGGCTAAAAAAAAAAAAGGAAGAATGAGAGACACACCCAGGGAAAGAAGCCAAGCAGATGCCAGCCAGACACAGAGAAGCAGTGAAATAAGATATACAGAAGTAAGAAAGGTAATAAGCCCCGAGGCAAAAGGTAGATAAAGAGAAACAGGTTAATTTAAGTTAAAAGAGCTAGCCAGAAATGTGCCTAAGCTAGGTCAAGCCTTCAAAACTATTAAGAAGTCTCTGTGTCATGATTTGGGAGCTGGTTGGTGGCCCAAAAGAAAAAGCCTGGTACATGTAGTTCTTCAGAAGTATGGAGGCACTCAAATGTCATGATGGGATCCACATACACAGACATATATGCTTAAAGGTAAGAAAAATAGCCTTTGAAAAGGAATCACTAGTTTGAGGCAACTCTAAGATTCTCTCAGAAAAATGCTGGAAGTTCTTTGAGTAAGAGTTGGTTTTAGGGCTGAGGTGATAACACTACTGATATCATACTTGTCATGTAAGCATAAGGACCCCAGTTCAATTCCCAGCACCTGCATAAAAAGTCAAAGCTGGGCATGGTGGCATACACTATTATTTCACTGCTGGAGACAAGTAGATCTTTGGGGCTCACTGGCCAGCGGGCTTGGTGTATTGGCAAGCCTCACGGTCCTAGTGAGAGCTCTTGTCTCAAAACAAACAAACAAACAAACAAACAAACAAAAAAACCAACCCAGAAAACAAGGGGGACGCAGTGTCTGAGGGGGCGCCACCTGAGGTGGTCCTCTGGCCTGCACATGCATACATGTGCATATGTGCCTCTGCCTGGGACAGGGTTTTGCTCCTGACTGAGAGTGAACCTCCAGGGCTCTGCCGTACTTTTGTAATTCCCTTCCTTACCCCATTCTTGCTTTTTCACAAGATGCGGTCTTGTTTCCAGCTGTTTTTTCCAGCTCTTCTATGCCTTTGGTCCAAAGAGCCTTTTGAATTTGTACAGTTTCTGTCCAAACTGCCAATGTTTCTTAAATGCCTGGGAGGTGTGACAGGTCCCAAATAATGACACAGAGACTTTTTATTAAGTATGAAAACTTGGCCTTAGCTTAGGCTTGTTCTCAACTAGCTCTGATAATTTAAATTAACCTGTTTACATTAATCTACATTCTGCCACACGGCTCCGTTACCTGTCCTCCATACTGTACATCCAGCTTCCTCTGTGTCTGGCTGGCAAACCCCCTCTCTGAGTTCCTCTCTCTCCAGAAGTCCCACCTATCTTCTCCTGCCTACTATTGGCCATTCAGCTCTTTATTAAACCAATCAGAAGGTGCCTTAGGTAGGTGAGGTAAAACAGACATCTTCACACAGTGGGATCAAATATCCCGCAACAGGGAGGTTTTCTCTGAACCCCACTGGATTCATTTCTTTGGACAAGAGTCATACTAGGCATCCCTTTGAGAGAGATAACTTCATGAGGTTTTGCTGAAATGGCAGTGTGTGTGTGTGTGTGTGTGTGTGTGTGTGTGTGTGTGTGTGTAACTTCGGATCTCTTGTTTAACTGATATTATTTGAGAGGCACACACACCTTTTTTCCTGTGGTACTAAGATTTGAATCTCACACATGTAGGCAAATGCTCTGCCACTTACCTGTATCCCAAACCTATACACACTTTTTGTTTGTTTGAGACAGGGCCTCACCAAGGGCAGGCTGTCCTCAAACTTACTGTGTAGGTGAGGATGGTCTGCCGCCTTAGCGCTGGGAGGAAAGACATATGTCACCATACTTGGCCCCATATTTTTTCAGAGAGCAAAGTTTTTTTTTCCTATCTCTCTGTTTGATAGAAAATATAGCCTTAGACTTGAAGATTTCTGAGAGTATAACCAAGGACTTAACTGAAAAGCCACTGGCCTCATCCTCTGAGCACATTTCTGTGGACTGTTCTAAAACCGACCATTGTATAAAAGCTGTTATGTCGAATGCCATTGTGAGGACAGGAAAAACCTCAAGATTATCAAGCTCCAGCTTCCCTTGATTTCCCAGTCCTTCCTTTAGATGATCTGACTTCTTTTGCATTTTATTATAAGTAGCAAGAAGAAACCAGGCACCTTTAACATACGGCTTAGAGAGCGCAGGCGTGAAACCCAGTTCAGTAAATGCAGCGTCTTTCCGAGTAACTGCAGGTGAAGGCCTTGTGAATCATTCCACCACACTGTGACAAACACCCCCCTCTGCTTTCTAAAAAGATGCCCCTCCCTCTCCTTCTCTCTCACCTGGAGCCTCCATCACACAACTGCCGTTTCGGTTAGACTCTTTCGGCCTTCACTAACGCTGTCCTCAGAAGCCCCCGTCTTCAGCTGGTTCCAAAGCCAACCTCACAATTTAAATGAAAGCATCTGGCTTCTAGTACCCAAACATGTGTCTATTATTCCATAACAAATCCATCCCCAAAATCTTACAGCTAAAATAATATAGATTTTTTTTTCTATTGTATGCATGTTGTATATGTGTCGGTGTGCCCATGTATGCATTCACCCATGTATGCATGTTTGGAAATCAGAGATCTCCTAGTCTCTTCACTTCATTTTTTGAGACAGGATCTCCTGCTGAAACTGGAGCTTGCCATCTTGGCTAGAGCCCCTAGAATCTACCTTTGTCCACCTCTCTTCAGTTCTAAGGTTATAGATGGGCACCACTTGCTTGGCTTTTATGTGGGTGCCAGGGATCTGAACTCAGGTCTTCATGAATGCGTAAGTACTTTACCCATGGAGTCATCTCCCCATTCCCTAAAACAAAGTCTTTTCTTTTTTTGCATTTTATTGTAAGTAGCTACTGAGAGCCAGTGTCTTAGGGTTTCTATTACTGTGATGAACACCATGACCAAAAAACAAGTTGGGGAGGAAAGGGGTTTTTTAGCTTATACTTCCACATGAAGTATAGTCAGGAACAGAGTCCACTGAGGGAAGTCAGGACAGGAACTCAAGCAGGGCAGGAACCTGGAGGCTGGAGCTGATGCAGAGGCCACAGAAGGGTGCTGCTTTCTGCTTGCTTCCCATGGCTTACCCAGCCTGCTTTCTTATAGAACCCAGGACACCTGCCCAGGGATGGCACCACCCACCATGGGCTGGGTCCTTCCTCGTTGATCACTAATTGAGAAAAAGCCTTACACCTGGATCTCATGGAGGCATTTCCTCAGCTGAGGCTCCTTCCTCTCTGATGACTCTAGCTTGTGTTAAGTTGGCACACAAAACCAGCCAGTACAGGCAGCAATCTGGAAATGACTTAGCTGGATGGTTCTGGCTCAGGTTGTTTCCTGAGGTGACCATCAAGATGCTGGTACTGGCTGGAACAACCTACCTCAGGATAGCTCATTCATATGGCTACTGTCTAGAGGCCTCACTTTCTCAAGGACTGCTGGTTGGAGGTCTCTGTTTTTCACCACAGGGACCTCTTTGCAAGGCTTCTGGTGTATTCTCCTAAGATGGAAGCCAAACTCCTCAGACTGGGTGATTCAGAGACACACAGAAGAAGAAGCTGCCATGCTGTTTAGACTTAGAAATGACATACTTGTACTTCCATTGACTCCTACAGGTCACACTGATTGACTCTGATACAAGGTAAGAGGGGACCACTCAAAGATGTGAGTACCAGGAATTAAGGGTCATTGAAAGCCATCTCAAGTTTGGCTACGGCGCACCTCAATGGACTCATGCCTCTGAGTGCATAAAATCCTGTGATCTGCTGCAATACCAGTTGGGAGGGAGACCAAATTTTGTCATCCTCTGGGCCATGAGGCATAATTTCACACAGAATTTCAGCCACATTAACTGTGTTTAATTTTTACTCAAATCTGTCATTTCTTAAGACTCAGGCATGAGCCCACGAAGGATGCTGGCCAGGAAATAAGTCCAAGGGAGCAGGCTCTGTGCTGCACTCCGAACCACCCTTCCGGTGAGCATACGGATTTGTTTAGACCCCATTCTTCTGCCTAACTCCCTGTTCCTGTAGCTGAGTAATGTTTTGGAGTCTCTGTCAGCATCTCACAATGATAAATAACTCCCGGTGGGACCCAAGAGCATCCTGGATGCACGTCGGAATGCCTTGTAACAGACACAACTTAGATGCAAGCTTGGGCTTTGCTGAAATGTCCAAGAGTTAGTGCAGTCTAAGAAGGTGACCTAGGGGAAAAGGAACAGACTGTCGTGGAAATGTTCTCCGTAGACCTACGGTCCATTATGAGATATTGGGCCTGGTCTACATTCCTTACATAAAGAAGCCATGCTATCCACAGTTAACCAATTAGAATTGACTGTAGCTACAAACAGAGGCTTTGGTAAGGTACTCTGGGCCACCCAATGCTGGTCTCCTGTACCTGTATAAAAGCTTGGGCCTTCATTTCTCTGTGACCTTCAGATGTAAGATTCTTGTTTTATTTTCCAGTCTATGTCTTTTTACCGACTTGGTGACACATCTTTGGTATTTTTTGTTTTTTAAATTTTAACATCATTTTATTCTCGACCATGATGAAATATGATTCTACCCTGAGTTTGGCTTTAGACTGTCTTTCGATCAACATCTGTTATCACACATACACACTGTATATATACATATGTATATACGTATTATATATACGTTGCATATAATAAATAGTGTGTTAGTGACTTTTTTTTCTTATCATGATCAAATGTCTGACAACACACAGTTCAAGGAAGGAAGGAGCATTTATTTCTGGCTCACAGTTCCATCATGACATCAGCAGTATGGTGGCAAGAGTAGCTTCAGCTGTGGCACCAGGGGCAGGAAGCAGCTGATCACACTGCAATAGTGGTCAGAAAGCAGGGGGAGGTGAATTCAGCTACTCAGAATCGGTCTGTCTTCATTTTATCCAGTCTGGGGCCTTCAGTCCATGGCAGGATGTTGCCTACGTTTGGGGTGGGTTTCCCCTCCTCAGTTAATCC